GCATAGTAATGTTTAAAAAATGCATTTGGATACGATTAATAGCTGTATTTCCTTATCTGTCTCGAAAAGTCTATGGCTGATATCGAATCCACACTGCAATCATAACACGAAACTACTGTTATCTGAGCGCGGGGGTCAAACCGATTGTATCGTTGGTGGCGCTCTGACAAAACAACAGTTGTTCGAAATAAATTGTTTATCAAATTATATTGGTTATATCCTGGATACTGACTACCGTAAAAATAAATAAACAACGGGAAATTAGTCGTTATCAACGTCATATTGGTTACTGATTATTTGGCTAGATAAATCCTTAAATAAGGATATTGCAAACGGCAGCCCATATGGGACTAAAATGAATTTACTGTAAAGTACATGTACCATAGTACATGTATTTGATTATGTGGGATTGGATAAAATACGGTAAATGAACCTATTACATTGATTATCTCACAAATATATCTGAATTTGGTTGGTATATTGACTTTTGAAGAATTGTAGTATTGAATGGTATTCATTATTTTTATTTTTTTTTTGGCTATTTTTTCACAAATCATAAATCTGGGTTTATGAAGTATCGGTATATTTGGATTATGACCTGAAAAGAAATTTATATATTTTTGTACAATTGAAATATCACCCACTCATTGTTCTGGCTGTACATTTATTCCTGTAAATCCACACTTGACTCTTTGTCGTTATGCTAATTGTAAACTGGCCACACTTGCTAAGTGTAATTGCTACAAATAACTGTGGCAGATTTTATATTATTACTGGTATTATTGTAAATCAGATCTTGCCGAGGTGCATGTTGATGAAGTAATAAGAGTTCATTCACAACTATTAAACAATAATTAATAATATTAATAATTAAGAGTTTGTATAGCGCCTAATATCCATCACGATGATGCCCAATGACGCTGTCAGTTCACAGAAATGCTCGCTGAAACATATAAGTTTTGAGTTTAGATTTGAAAACTGACTGCAAAACGAATGTCTGTTGGTAACCGATTCCACAATGTGGAGAAACATGCGAGAATGAGCGATCGCCAAATGTCTTGAGTCTGGTTCTGGGCACTGTTAGTGTAGATGTATGACTTGAACAAAGAGTTCTACCAGGTTGACGGAGTTGAATCAAGTCTGATATGTAGGTTGGTGTTAATCCATGAAGTGCCTTGTACGGAGTAGTAGAATCTTGAATTGAATTTCGTAAATAA